GCCCCCTGGTGCACGCCCCCCTCGCCGCGCCTAGGCCGCAGCCACATTTTCATCATTTTCGTGAGGAAGTCTCAGGCAAAACGGGGGAGTCCGGATCCGGTTGTTTTGTTGACGCCCGCTTTCCCTTGCAAAAAATAAGAAAAGTGGACATTTCTTGTTCTAACATAACCAAACTTCAAGAATCCCTTGCAAAAAATAAGGTAAAGTGGACATTCGCGCGCGCAAGACGAAATCCTTCCAAAACCTTAGTGTTCGTAGCGATTTTAACATAAAAACATAAAAAACCAATGGTTTTTCAAAAAAAAATGTCAAAATTTCATCCCGCGCGCTCTTGCGGATTCGTAGGAAACCCAACACTTTTTAAACATTTCTGTCAAACGGGCTTTTGCGAGCAACTTTTTCGAACTTCTGCAACAACGGTTGCGCACCTGCCAGGGCCATCATCCCTGTCAAATAATACCATGCGGGACACATTCGTTTTTTCTTCGCGCGCGCACGCCGTCGTCGTCGGCCGCGGGGCCCTGAATAGTAGCCACGGTCGTCCGCATGCCACGAAGTGAAGTGTCCGAACGTCATAGGGCGGGAAGCTGGGTGTGGGTGGTGGCGAAGAGTCGTTTGGAAATTTGGTAGAGCTTGAACCGGCCCCCCCACAAAGTGGGGGTATTGCCCGCCTCCTATGAAAACCCTGGCACTGGTGAGAACGGTGTGTCCCCACGTGCTAGTAATTGTTGTTGTTGTTGTGTTTAGTCAGCGGCCGCACGAGGGTCGGATGGCGGTCGAGCAGCGGCGCGGCGCGTCGGTGCACCGCGGGGCACGCAGTGGAGGCCAGGAAAGTCTTCGCTTGCGCGCCCTAACCCCCTCTTCGCTTCGATCCCTTCCTCCTCCTCCCCCCTCCTCCCTCCTCCCTCCCCCTCCTTCCTCCATCATTCTCCCTCCTCCTTCCTCCTCCTCCTCCTCTTCGCCTCCTCCTCCTCCTTGGCGCCCGGTCCACCAAAATCATAACGGGGTCTCAGGCCGGAGCAGCAGTGCATCCCCGCCGCCAGACTCCATGAGCGGATGAGGGCGCTGATGGGCTGTTGCAGGCGCGTGGTCAGTAGATGGCGTCCTGTCGGGATGCGGTTTCGCTGCTTGGTGCCCCGGTTGTTGCTTGGTGGTGCCCAAGCGGATTCCCGATGGTTTGTGGGTGGTGGCCCGATGCTTTGTTGATGACGCTCCGATGGTATCTCGATGTTGTCTCGATGAATACCGCGTGCGCAAGTCGTATTCCGATTGCTTATAGCGTGTAAGTTATCTGCGAACGAGACAGCATGGCAATGCTAACAGTACGTGGTCCTCAATCGTTAAGTATGTGCACAAGGCGTGCTTTGTTCGGAGCGAGCCCAGCGGGAACGGGCATGTAGACGCTCCGCGTATCCCAACGCCAGACAAGGGCTTCATTCCCATGCGCGGTCCCTGAGCCTTGTCCCTACACCTGGCGCCAAGAAGGCACCGGCATAATTGCCACGAGGGCCGCCGTCGGGTATGTCTTTTTACAGGAGGAATATTCAGAAATAGTCAGCAAATCATATGGGTACGATTTTTGTTCGACTATCCTTCCAAATTCGCCTGTAGGAGGACATGCCCGATCAACAAATTGCAGAGCCTTCACCCTCAGACCGACCACATCGATGGAGAACCTATTCGTCTTCGTGCTCCCCGAAGTCTGCCTGCGCGTCAGGCGGGGGCGCAGCCCCCCACCTTCCCCCTTCTGAGGCTTAGGAACCAGGCTTGGGGGTTGCTAGCCCAGTCTGGCACCCATCTAGCACCCCCCGCACTAGGCTGCGAGTTGGAGGCTCCCTGGGCAAAGGGTGCCCCCCCATGAGCAATCCCTCGGTCTTTCCTGTTCCACCGAGGATCTGTTCATGGCGGCCCGCTCGCAGACCTGGAAGACAGGCCAGTGGTCTTGGCAGGCAGTCAGTCCTCTTCAGGGGGGGGCCCCGTCTTGCCAGAACTCCCGCCGCCGTGATCTTTCCCAAGAGCGTGAGCCCCCGGAGGTCTCGACCCCCGCCCTCCAGCTTTCCATCCTGCGCTGTCTTGTGAACGTCCCCCGGGGGCCAGGGAGGGTCCTGCGGGGGGACGAAGCTTGCGACATCCCTGCCCCTTCGCTTACGGCAGGCGAAGGAGAGAAAACGCCATACACATACACTTTTGGCGCTCCGCGCGGATCTCTGGGATCCGCGCTGGGCCCCGGGGGCGGCGCCTTCGGCGCCGCCGCTGGCGTGCTTCGCGCGCCAGGTAGGGGGGTCCAGCGCTGATCTAAGAAATCCGCGCGGAGCGTCACAGTTCATCTCTATGCCGTCTGTTCTTCTTCGATCGATTTCTGCAGGACGCCAGGGGGGTCCCCAAGGCTCTGGGCTGCAGGCGCTGAAGGACACTCTCGGTGGGCCCCTCTCGGGAGGCGTTCGCCGAGGCGGCGCGCGTGCAGGCCTGCCTGCCGGACCTCCGCGAGCGGCTGGCCGAGGAGGTCGAGGGCGCGCAGGTGGCAGCGGAGCTCGCGCTGCGCGCTGCCGAGACCGCAGGCCGGCGGCGACTGAGGGGGGGAAGTGAGAAGGACGAGGCCCTCTCAGAAGGCTCGGAGGCCCCCAGACCTTCTGAGAAGTGTTCTCCAGAAGCCTTCCCCGAAGAGACAGAGAACCTCTCAGAAGGCCCGAGGGAGGCCTTCCGGTAGAAGGAAACAATTAGTGGACACTCCCCCGCTCCCCCAAACTCAAAGTTGGCACGCGCGGGGAAGACTGCGATCGAAGTGCAGCTCACCCAACCCACCGCTAGCATTGATCCCTGGGGGAGGAGGCATTGGCAGATGAGTGCGGCATGAGTGTTCGCTAAGTTCTTCCGACGCCTGTCTCCTCCTCACTTCCTCCCCCCGCTCGCCGGCGAGCAGGGGACGAGAAGGCGGCGGCCCTGGAGGAGGTGCGGCGGCTGCAGGCGCCTCCTGGGGGCTTCGGCTGCCACAAGTCACTCACACACATACATATATATACACAGAGAGAGAGAGAGAGAGAGAGAGAGAGAGAGGACGAGCGTGTGCCGAGGCCGCGGCTCGTCCTGGAGAGCCCTCGTCGCCACGGCCGGATCCTCCTCGAAGTTCTGGTCAGTGCACACTCCGGAAGAGGTCTGGGGACTAGTAGCGGTAAATCGGGCATGGTCCCTCCACAGGAGGAGTAGAATATTCAAACAGTGAAAAAATAGGCGGGGAGCGATTTTCTTCTATTCCTGACTACTTGTGTACATTTTTTAACTATATTTAATATTCGTTCAAAATCCGCCTGCAGGAGGGCATGCCCAACCTGAGGCTAGTAGCGGTGATTTCGAATGTGTGTGTGTGTATGTGTGCGTGCGTGTGCGTATGTTGTTTGGCACGTTCTGTCAGGTTGTCAGCGTGTAGTTGTTGCTGATGCGTCCTCCTCTTCCCCAGCGTGTGTTGCGGGGCTTCTTGAGGGGAGTTTTCTCAAAGCTCCTGAGGGCTTTTTGGCCCCCCCTGGGAACTTTTCGGGGGCCTCTTGGGCGCATGTTGGGGGTATTGGGGGCCATCATGTGGGGGGCGTCTCCGGGGGACCCTCCTGCTCCTCCAAGTCGGGCCTATCTTGGACCCCTCCTCGGGCTCCTCTTGAAGGTTTTGTTGTTACGTCTTGGGGCCATCTTAGGCAATCTTGGGGTCCTCTTACCATCTTAGAAGGCGGCTTGGTTGGGCATCTTGGCGGCCACGCAAAGTTAATTTTGAAGTTCCCAGGGCCCCGGAGGTGCGGTGGGGAGCTCGACGGGATTTCGGACCCCTTGGGAGGGGCAACGGGGAGGGGTGACAGCCAATCATCCCTCACTGCAGCGGGGGTCGGCGGATTCTGAACATACGCCTTAGGAGCGGGGGTCGGCAGATTCTGATACATCGGGGGTCCTCACACCGTGTGGGGACACCGCGTGGTGACCTTGAAATCCAAAGAGACTTTACCGCGCGGTCCGTCTCTGCACGGTGTTAGGACCTCGGCGGCCCCGGTCGCCCGAGACATTTTCGGAGAACTTCCCGAGTCCCAAAACCGTGCTGTTACCCTGAATGCTCACTAACCACGCTGTGTGGTCACCACACAATTTTTGAGCCCGCGAATACAGCTGCAATCGGAGGGAAATGCTCCAGAGGAATATTCCAGACGCTTCGCATAACCTCACCAGCATTGCAGAAACGATGCCCAGGCGAATGGCCGTGATCTGGCATGTGGGGAGCACGCAGTGGAAGAGAGTCTAGGAAGCGGTCATACCCCAAGAGGGGGAGGATGGAGGAGGAACTAGAGGAGGAAAAGGAAGAGGAAGAGGAGGAGGAGGGTCCGTTGCCATTTTGCCTCAAGTCGTGGAGGACCAGGGGCAGTTTTTGCGTGCACACCTGCTACTGTACACTTAAGTGGGCAGCCCCAGGATCGGGGCCATCTTCTGCTCTAGCTTAGGCGGACAATTCTCTTATGCCAGCCTGTGGGCACTGCGGGTGCCGCAAAAGCCCCAGCTGGCTTTCATTTTGCAAGCGCTGTGACTATTCGCTCGCAGAGGGTACGTCATGGTCTGGTCAGAAGCAGTCGTCGCCCTGCGGCTCTTATCACAGTGGCGACGGTGCTAATGGGGGTGGTAAGCGTAGCAGCAAGTGGAATCACATACCGCCGCGGCAGTGGTTTCCGCCGCCCTCACCGCCTCAAGTATCCGCATCAATTGCAGCGGCTTGCGCACTTGGACGATCAGCAGTTCGAGGCTGCACGTCTGTTTATGTCTTCCCAGCAGATGCGCGAGCTGCTCAAGCTTGGCGCGGTCCAGTCTGGTGAGCGCACTGCAGGATCCCGCCATGTGCAGCAGCAGCATACTGGCCTTCGCACCATCTTCAGCAGCACGCAGGCCAAGTTTAGCAAAACAGAGAAGGAGCTCAGAACCGTGTTCGAACGAGTTGTGCGGTTTAGAGCTTACAGGCGAAGCCCAGCTTCACGAGGATGAAGAAAAGCAGTTGGCTCATCAATCCGCTCAGGCATGGTCAAACTTGGCAGGCTATATCGGCTCAGGCGGTGGCTCGGCAGAAGGAGCGGTACTGCGCAGCTTTTCTGGCATGGACGACAGCTTCGCGCAGCAATTTCGTGAGTTGGTCAATGCTTGTGATCGTGATCGGCATCAAGACCGTCCAGCTGCACCACCTCCTGGTGGCCCCCCGGCTCCTGGTACCCGGAGGTTTGATGCTGGGTCTGCAGCCGAGAAGCCCGGCACCATTCACGGACCAGGAGCGGACATCGATTCGGACGACCCCATGGATGATGATCTTTGGGCGGAGTCTGATCAAATTGTTCGGGATACGGTGCGTCTCTTTGTCCAGCTGAACTCGTCGGAGGAACACCCCGCTCGTTTCTTGGAGCAGAATTCGCATTTGGGTCTGTCTGTGGATCAGCCTCGAGAGCTTATGCGATCTGCGGCCGACTCCATCAAGCGATCCCGCGATGAGACCATCGACTGAGACACCCGCGACAAAAAGTTCCAGCAGGACTTGCAGTCGTGGGTAGCACGTCCGCCTGTGCTAAGCACGCTAGAGTTTGGTCAAAATTCTCTACCAATATCACTGCGTGGTCTAGTTTTCAGCGCGTGCAAGAATGTTCTTCTCACTTTGATTGCCTAGCTGTGCAGGAGACTCATTTAACACGTGCGCAAAGTGAGTCGCATGATGGTCAGCTTCGGACATCTGGAGTCACGGCTTCTCTCCCCCGGGTGCTCGCGAAAGTATGGGATATTGTTGTAGCACATCACGCCGGAGGCATGGCCAACGGTGGCTTCACCCTCGCCAACAGCCATCTTCAGCACCCTTCTGGGAGTCCCATCTAAAGTGGGCCTTTTCCTTACGCGAGTTGGGCCCCCCCTTCGCCGCTGCTGCAGATTGGAGCCAGAGCAGCACATCTCAAGTGGATGGCCACCTGCTCTTGGCAGAAAAGGTTTTGTTTCCATCGAGGTCGAGGCGCGCGCAGGCTAGCCAGCAATGCGATTGATTAGTTTGGTGTCAGTGTTTCGCCCCCGCGCACTCGTCACCTGCATGGGCGCGCCGACATTGCCACGGATCCGCACTATTCCAGTTGCAGTCAAGAGCATGGCGCCGCCCGCAGATGCCATTGCCCTGGTTGCGCAGGTGCCTCGATGTTTTCCAAATGCAGTGCCTCGTGGCTGTTCGCTTCCGCCTACAGCTGGCAAGTGGCGCGCGCTCAGCATCCATGCTTGCGCGGCTGCCTCAGTGGGCGAGTGATTGAAGCTCTTGATCCGCGCATGCGAAGTTGAGCGGCTGAATGCCTCCAGGTTCCCCCATGGGGACTTGCAGAACTATGGCGGGCGCTCGTTGGACCTCCGCGTCGCGTGCGTACCCCTCACACGGCCTGGGCCTCCGCGTTTCCCGCGGGTCTCTCTGTTGGGTGTCTGGTGGAGAAAGGTTGCCATGCGCCTCGAGGGCTTCCTGGTGCCCCGCAAGGTTCACATCTGAGAAGAAGGAGCCAATCGGTTAACGTCTTTCAAAAGACCACACTTTTGTGCCACATGCTGAGGTAACAGAAAAAGCGAGGTACGAGTGATGACGTTGTGTTTTGGGCGAAGCCCCGAAGGGGGAGTGCAGAGAGGGGGGGAGGGGGAGGGAATGAGTGTTAATGGCAGTTGTCGGGTTTTCCTTAGGGTTTTTGTATGGTTTTCGGGTTCTCTCCTTTTCCGTCCCAGAAGGGCCCTAGACGGCCCAAGAGGTCCCAAAGATCGGCCCCAGAGGCTTCCGAGACGCCCCGAGGGGCGTCCAAGAGGCGCCCCAACAGGCCCCCAAAAGGCCAAAATCATAGATTTTCCGTGGGGAAACGTACATTTTTCGTATATACGGTTTTCCGGCTTTCACGGCGTTGACGACGGCCCAAGGGGCCCCCAAGACCGCCCCAAGACGGCCCAAGAGGCCCCCAAGAGGCCCCCAGAACGGCCCAAGAGGGCCCCAAGACGGCCCAAGAGGCGCCCAAGACGGCCCAAGACGGCGCCAAGAAGGGGACCACGAACCGAGAAGTCTAGCCTTTCGCCCCAAGATGCTCCCGGGAGGCCCCAAGAGCCGCCCAAGAAGCCCCAAAAGGCCCCCAAGAGGCGTCCCAAGAGGCCACCAAGAGGCCCAAATCATGGATTTTCCATGGGAATATATATATATATATATATATATATATATATATATATATATTTAGCGTACACGGCTTTTCGGTTTTCACTGCGTTGAACACGCTCCAAGAGGCCCCCAAGACCGCCCCAAGACGGCCCAAGAGGTTCCCAAGAGGCCCCCAGAACGGCCCAAGAGGGCCCCAAGACGGCCCAAGAGGCGCCCAAGACGGCCCAAGAGGCCCCCAAGACGGCCCCAAGAGGGGGACCACGAACCGAAAAGCCGAGCCTTTCGCCCCAAGAAGCTCCCAGGAGGCCCCCAGAGCCCCCCAAGAAGCCCCAAGAGGCCCCCAAGAGGTCCCCAAGAGGCTTCCAAAAGGGCTCCAAAAGGGCCCCGATAGGACTCCCAAGAAGGCCCAGAGACGCCAAATAGAGAGTGATCGGTAACGCAAAAAGCTCTTCACACCAAGACTCCCAAGAGCGAACGGTGACGTAAACAAGCTGATGAGACCAAGGCTCCCAGCAGAGAGCGGTGACGTAACAAGTTCCTGACACCAAGGCCCAGCCAAGGCTCAGAAACGGGCGGCAACGCCACAATCTCTGAACACCAAGGCTCCCAAGAGCGAGGGGTGACGTAACAAGCTCTCAACGCCAAGGCTCCCTGTACGAACGGTGGTGTGAGTAAATTCGGCTTCTGTTTCTGAAGCGCTCTTTCAGTTTCTGTGCCGGGCCAGGTCTACTGGACATGGCCCCGACGCCAGCTCGAGCGCATTTTTTTTTGTTCCTTCCTGCGCCAGCGGCGCGGGCGCTGCCGCGGCGGCCCCGGCGCGCGGCGGATGCCGAAGATAAGATGGTTGCCAAGCGGGACGGGTTACTCAGAGGCCAGCAACATATGTACACGCACGCGGTTAGTTTCCCCTGGGGTGCGTGCCAACGCGGACGTTCGTGCAGGCAAGACCGCGGAGGGCGTACATGTACATATGTCGTTGCTCGCCCAGTTGCAATGGAAGCGCTGGTTCGATCCGCATTCAGAGAGTGGAGCATCGGCCCTTCACTCGCATTCGCCGTCGCTCACTGCACGGCGGCCCTGGCGCGCGGGGCCACCGTGCGCGCTGGTCCGCTAGCGCGAAGGAGCGCGGGCGCCCCAGCGTGAACGGCCAGGCCGGTGGCCGCTATCTGAGGAGGCGGGCGCCCTGTTGCATAGGCGCAGTGCGTGCGAGCGCACCCAGGTAGATTGGCGTGACTGCCCCTCCGTGCCTCCAGTGGCTCAGCGCCGCCGCTGTCAGCTCTCCTCTTGCTCTCGCGGTGCAGGTTGCGCTGGCTTGGTTGCGAGGATCAAGGTGCACCCTGGCTCCGGGACTGCTGCGAAGGCCGTGCTGGCAAGCGTCTGAATTCTGGCGACGTTCTATCATATCTTTTTGCCAAGTGGGCTGCCCGAGCCTCCCGCGCTCCCGAGGCCCAGCGCCGGGCAATTCTGAATCGCACCAAGATCCTCGAAGCCAGGCGCAAGTGGGTGGCCCGAGTTGGGGAGGGCGACGACGCTTTCCACCCGCCGCAGGTGCGACGAGGCCGCCCTCCCCAACCAACTCACCCGTGTCAGTGACCCTACTCCGTCTTTGATGCAGCGCGCAGTTGCCCTCTCTCGTGCGTTTCGAAACGACGGGTGCAGGCCGCGCCGCCTTGTCTCTTTCTCTCTATCTGGTGATGTCGAGCTGGTCGCTTGCTTGTCACGCGGTGCTATGTGTCCTGATCGGCTCGTGCCCCTCTCGCCGCCGCGCTTTTCGCAGCGGCTGAAGTGGCCAAAGAAGATCTGGAACAGGCTCCACAATGGAGAGCGCATGCATGTTGGAATGACGGGGATGCCATTCGCGCGTGATTCTCAACCAGTCTCGCTCGATGAATGTGTTCAGTCTCCTTCAGTCGGACGCGGTGGATTCCGCGGCGCTCGATGTCTTGCCCAGGAGGAGGATGGGGGAGGAAACGGAGGAAGAGAAGGAGGCGGAGGAAGAGGTGGGGGAGCAGGAGGACGAAGAGGAGGAGGAGGAGGAGGAGGAGGAGGAGGAGGAGGAGGAGGAGGAGGAGGAGGAGGAGGAGGAGGAGGAGGAGGAGGAGGAGGAGGGGGGGGGGGTGGGAGGGGAGGAGGAGGAGGAGGGGGTGGGTGGGGGGGGAGGGGGAGGGGGAAGGACAGGAGGTGCGAAGGAGACGGGATGATGAAGGAGGAGGGCCAGGCGGATGAGACAGGGAGCCTCTTAGGGGCATATTGGGAGCATGTTGGGGGCATATGGAGGCCTCCTGGGCGCCTCCTGGGGCTCTTTTTGGGGCGCTCTCTGGAGCTTCGGCGGCCATCTTGGAAGTGATCGGTCAAAGAAGCGGGCGGGGGGGGGGGGGCAATCAGGATCCCACCTGGAAGGCCCAAACGCGTTCAAAACTCATGTGACATCAGGGATTTCGGCTTCTCTCGCCGAAGCCATCTCGAACGCCGCGCCGCCCCGCCGCCCCCCACTTCCAGGGGGGGGGGGGGGGGTCTGGGGGAGGGGTCAAGCTACCCGCCCGCCCGCAAACCGTCCTGCTCACTCCCGCCCGCCCTCCCAACACATAAGTAACACCTGGGCCTCAGCACATTCAGCGGTCGTCTTTGGATGGACAGCTACTGGGAACCAAAGGCGAGCCTATGTGCGCGACGATAGAGCGAAGTGTTCCGCGCGTGCCAGGCGCGCCACGCGCGCCAGGCACCCCTGGGGTCCGAGCGCGCCAAGCACGCCAGGTGCGCCATATGCGCCACGTGCCTCCGCGTGTGCCATGCGCGCCGCGTATTCTAGCCTCGCCGTGCGCACCGCGTTCGGGGCATGTGCAGAGCGTCAGGTTCGCCCGCGCACGTGACAGCGCACATCCGGAAACATGTCGGCCCCCGCCATACACGTCGAAAACCAATGCTCACCATTCTGTCGGGCGGGCCTGCGCACAGCTGGCCATGCGCCACCATTTGACAGTGATCGAAGGGCGGTCGCGCACGATCCAGATTGGGCTGCGAGGTGCATGTTGCATTGTTCTTGGTCAGAGATGGCAGCCCTCCGCGCAGTGGGCAATATGCTGACGCCGTCGCCGCCCCTGTCAACAAACAAAACAAAGTGGTTGCGAGCCTCGCGAAACTGACTCCAGACTTTGGCCCACAGTGTAATGTGAGTGGTCTTTTGACGGGGGTGGTGGGGGTGGCCCTCACGGTGCCCCC